GCTTCCAGGGACCGCCGGCCCCAGTGGGGGCTGGGCTGCCTCTCCCAGCCTCGGCGGCGTCTCCCCCAGTGCCGCTTCCGGAGTGGAGACCCCTGCAGGGCGTGAGGGTGCCGCTGCTGGACGCCCGCGCCTGTGACCGCCTCTACCACGCGGGGACCGACGTGCCCCTGGGCGAGCGCATCGTGCCGCCGGGGAGCCTGTGCGCCGGCTACCCCGAGGGCCGCAAGGATGCCTGCCAGGTGCGGGCGCTGGGGACCCCTGCCCCCGCGGGGCTCCAGCCGGACTGGAGCTGGTCTTTCTCTGCAGGGTGACTCTGGGGGACCCCTGACGTGTGTGAAGTCTGGGCGCTGGGTCCTGGTGGGTGTGGTGAGCTGGGGCAAGAGCTGTGCCCTGCCCAGCCGCCCAGGTGTTTATACCAACGTGGCCACCTACAGCCCCTGGATCCAGGCCCGCCTGTCTCTGCCGCTGCACCGGCAGGCGCCGGGTGCCCGGGCCCCATCTGCCTGAGCCCTGCTCATCCCCACCTTCTGCCCTGATTCGAGGCTGAGGCCCGACAGGGCTAAGGGGTCGCCCCTGTATCAGTCTGTCCTAAACCCCCTCCTCTTCGGGGCTCACCGAACCTGGCCTGCCCACCCCCCACACCAGCCCCGCTCCCTGTCCTCCGGCTCATATTGATGCTCCTGGGTGCTGGGCCCGGAGTCGGGCAGCTGACCTGCATGCCCCCTTTGCTGGAGGAAGTCAGAGGGAGGTGCGCCAGGTGACCCCCAAAGGGCTGGAGCTGAAGGCAGCAAGCTGCCCGGAGCCGGCGCAGGCACACCCTCGAGCTGCACCCGGGAGGCCAAGCCTTACAGTGCTTGGACCGTGGAGCAGCCCCCAGGCCGCGCAGGCCAAGCCCTCCCGACATCCAAGCAGACAACCCACCCTGGCCTGGAGCTGCCCTTTAATAAAGCTGCGTGGTTTGAAGCTCCATGTTTGTAGCTGCTGTTGAACGCAAGTCGGAAGCTAGACGGGCGCTGCAGGCTTGCCGCGGAGATGGACGTGGGGGGCAGGAGGGCAGTGACCACTCCTGACTTTCCCAGGGCTCAGGGCCTGGGTCCCAGCAGGGCGGCCATCACCTGGTCACACCCCTGCGTCCACTCCCAGATGACACTGGGCCCGGGTTCCGCCTCAGCCAGGGTCCCCAGGGCTGGCCCTCCACACTGGAGACCCCAATGCCCTCTGCCGCACACGTCCTGGTGTGCCTGGGGCCTGGCGTCCCGGCCACCCATCACTGCGGAGAGGTCAGTGTCTGGAACTGCAAATGGGGCAAGAATCGGCCAAACGCACAAATACCCAAAATCACATCTGTGGAACGAGCAGGGGCAGCAGAGGCGGCCAGGGGAGGCCGCGGA